TTACATTGCCAGGAATAATGCTGGAAATTGAGAGGGCAATTTGAGAAAATTTTTATTCATATTTTCTCTAGTTACAAAAACAAGAGTATATTATATGTTCAATTAAATTTTTAAATAACTAACAAACAAATAAAGATACAAACTAGTGGTGATAAAATAAGTATAAAAAATTCATACGCCTAACTAAAAAAAAAAAGTAGATATCTACTGACAAATACATATACACACAAAATTTCAAATCTTAGAGTTTCTATTTATTAGAGCAACTTCCAATTTGGTGACATTTTGAAATACATAGCTTTTTTTATTTACGGCACTTTCACTTGTCAGATTTACAACCACATCGACTATAGCCTTGGCCCGCAGTCTTGCATGACATTCTTGCGAATTTTCTTAGAGAAATCTCTGACTGAGGAATTTCATCGGCATAAATAAACTTTTCATTACATATTGTAATTTGGTTCCTAGCATAAAGTTTATTTAGGATTCCATGTTTCGTGCCTAATTTAAAAAAACTGGCATCTGTTATTTCAAGAACAAATGCCAAAATAGTTCTTCCATCAGTGCGACCTCTGTCGACATCTGGGACTCGAACTCTAACTGCGTCACCCTTTTTAGCAGCGGGGTATTTTGAAATAGAGGTTTGAAGCATTTTTTCAGCTTGTCTTTTAGATTTCTTGCTGAAATCTCTCTAATTTTTAATATGTCGGCTTTTCTTTTTTTTCACATTGGAATCCTCTGAGGAATCTTCATAACCTTCATACCGGCGTTTTTCATGACAGGAGACTTCAATATCAGATGGCTCGGAGACATTTATTTCTCTTTCGTTGTTATGAAAATCAGAACTTGGTTCATATAACGAAGTTGAAGGTGGAACATGACTGTCAATAGAAGATAGTTCTTACTCGTTATGTTGACTTGGACCTAGCTCCGCTAAAGAATTTGACCCTGGTTCATTTTGCAGTGCACCTTCTTCTACAGAATGTAAATTGTTTTGATCTTTTACTATTAATTCTAAGTCCTCTTCACAATTATATTAGTATTATTAGGCAGCACGTCTGTAGGTAGAAAACTTTTTAGACCAACTGTTAACTTTGTTCCAAACATGGCCTCATACGGAGTACAGTTTATGCCACTATGATGAGCTCTGTTCTTCATAATCTGAACAAAATGTAAGCCTTCTGACCATTTTCTGCTGTTATTGTCTTCCAGCCAGGAACAAAGCATATTTTCCACTTCCTGATTTGCATGTTCTACGGAGCCCTGACTTTGAGAGTGTCTGGGCTTCCCATGTACCATCTTTAACTCGAGCCACATGCTACATAGTTCGTTAGTAGTATTGTTAGCAAATTCCCTCCCATTATAACTTTGCAAAATAGTAGGCGCACCAAAAATGGTTAAAATATCCAAAGGCACATAAGCTACGTCTTCAGTTCTTTTGCTTTTAAGAGGTTGAAGTTGAATAAATTTAATAAATGAAGCGTTATACGCAGTCGTCTGGGAATTAGCCAAATAAGGTTTATCAATCGCTTGTTTGGCAATTTAAAAAAAAAGTATAATGCAGAATTAGCTGCATGATTGGGTTGTTTTGAACTAGAACTTTGAATGTGTTTAACGTAAAATTTTAATTGAATTAATTTTAATTAATATTGAATGATAGTATTAGTATTAGTGCTAGTGCTATTATTGGTATTATTGCTTGTATCTTATATATTACAATTATAAGTCTAAGTCAAAGTCTACATTTCTTAGACTTAGAGTCTAAGCCTATGAAGATGATTTTTTAAAAGCCATTTCAATAGACTTAGACTTAGAGTCTAAGCCTATGAAGATGATTTTTTAAAAGCCATTTCAATGGTCTAAGTCTAGTTCTGTATTCTGATTGATTAGGTTGTTATATGTTGCTATGGCCATGTCATGTGGTTGGTTTTACTGACTAATTCAGGAAATACATTCTATTTATTTTTAAAAAAAAAACTATATCATTAATTTTTTTTTTTTTTTTTTTGTTACCTTAATGTAACATTTTTCAGCTTCCGTGCAAAACTGTAACTGTGTGAAAGTATTAATTAAAGTGCCCCCTCTACAGAACCCCCTGCTCCTACAGCTATTTTTTACAGCTACTCTCCGCTGACCACCCCTGATTATAATTACTGTACCAGAGAAACATGGTTTTATCTGCCACAACATTAGTTAACAACACATACAATATGTTAACAACACAAACTTATATTATGAAAATCATAAGAATAACATTATTAACATTACATTGGTCAAGTTAATAAATTCTTATCATGTTTTAACATTTTTAAGCCAAAACAAAAGTTAAACAAAATGCCTAGCTTCATTCTCGAGAACAAACTTAACAACGCGTTAGTATCATACATCCATGACTGGCCTTGGCTGGAATTGAACTCCAGACCCCCCAACTTGAGGTTCGCTCAATTTATACCATTCGATCACACAGTCACCCTGATAACGAAGCACCTTTATCGATCGATAATGTAACACAGGAAGAATATAGACCTCACGTAACTTACAGACTGTGTATAACTCTCAGGGTTATTGCGCAGTCGGCTGCGCATAACCCTTTCGTTTAATTAAATGATCTTAGCCTTCGTATACAATTCAATTAATTAAAGTGACCAGTGAGATAATAGCAGTATTTATAATGACGGGGCAATGTAATATATTGTCCTAGATTGTCATAGACTAATACAAAATTATTAAATTGCCCGATTTTATCGGTCATTATTCATAATGACCAAGCATTATCAATAATGCCCAATAATTCACATTGAATTGAGTCATTTCATGTAACATTCATATATATTATAATTTAAGGAAGTAGCTTACTTATAAGTAGGCCTAGTACTACATTTAGTTGATTTATTTAGCTACTGGGAACTCTTGAAAAACGTATTTATATAATATTATTTATTACTATAAGTAATTTTATAAATAAACATCCTCACTGGAGATGATGCACTCATAAATTGCACTGAAAACGTAACACTGTAACTGTAAAGCTCACAGTCACTGGATGGCATATTTTATTAATTGTTTTGTAATACCGGTAGTTGCTTTGTTTTAACATTTTAATACTTTATATTTTTAAGTGTATTTAATATAATATTTAAAAATATATATAAATTGTTTAAATTGCTACAAAATATTTTAAAACTTAAATGGGAGGGAAAAAAAAGCTCGATCCCCTACTGGGAATTGATCTCAAAATATATTATCGCCAAGCGTCCACTCAACCACTTGATCACACAAGATCTTCTCTAACAAGCGTATCTCAAAACAACGCCAATGGTACATTTTTGCCGCGGTGTACGCATCCACTTCGAAATTTTAAACTGCATGTTACTGGTTAGCCATGGTAAATAGCTTCACATTTTTACCGAGATATCAAAACTTAGTTTTGAATAATTTTGCCGAAACTCTTAGTTCCATTTGATTACAATTATTATAAAAAGTTACCAAAGTTACATTTTATCATAATAATAAAAAATCATATTTATTTTAATTAACTAACGTGAATCTTATTCGAAATAAAATTAAAATAAAATATTGTATCTGGATTAAATTCAAGATCACACTGAATGGGGTAATAGGTAGTACCCAAACATTTCCAACATCAGACATAAATGAAATAATTCATTAATTGTCATTGGGTACGTGAAATAAACAATAATCATATCAAATAACACTTAACAGAATGTACAGACGATTGAATTTTATAAATAATTTTAATAAAGTGGAACATACATAATTATTCATTGTCACTAACCAACAAATGATGGGAAGGAGACAACACCACTGTAACTGTAACACTCAATTTTCAACTCGTTTGAGAGTGAGTGTCAGTACTGTGAGCTTCAACTTCCTTAGACTCTTCATGAGTCATACTTTTGATACTAGGCATAGTGTAGACAGAAGTGAGTGTCTGTCATTTTTTGACAATTGGCACAGGTCAAGCATGAAGCAACAGAGCTCCAACTTCCTACCAATGCCAATACATCAGTTCTGGTTCTGGTAGGGTACATTGCTGAATTGATGTACTGGCTTATGTGCAATGGTTCGGGATGCAATGATGGTATATTAACGGCTCCTAGCGCATGCTAGGGAAGTTTTGAAGCACTCGATTGATGTTGAGTTAACGGCTGTATTGTAAAGTTGGTTCCAAGCGATGATTGTGTGTGGGAAAAATTATTGTTTATAATATTGGACTGTGTTACAACGAGGCACATTTACTATTGTTCTGGATGTAATTTGTGGTGGGGCTGTTAGAGGTGAAGTCAGTGCTTAGTGAGTGTTTGGCTCTGATTAAGCGATCTGGCTTCTGAGTTTGCTGTGATGGCAGGCACTAGCCCCATGACCACATTATATAGGAATGTGAGACGGAGCTTTTTTTGTCTGTATAATAATGTTACTAATGATGGCATTTTTCGAAACATTTATGTGTGTATTAAGTATTATGTAAAATTATTATTAAAGCGGAATATATATTGTTTTATCGACACAAATTGTTTGCGCCTATTCTAATCTGTATGATCAAGAACATACCCTAAGTAATAGTGGCAAATATTAAAATCCAACATAAATATATTCACAATTTTAATACTTATCAATTTATCACAAATAATAGCCTTAGGTATGTATATATTTATTGTTCTTACGCTGTATAAAATAGGCAAAATAAAAGTCCTAGAAGTTAGCAATAAAAAAGTGCTCAACTTAAATGCATGATTGGTCAGGTAACTTAAGTAGATGGGAAGTCTATGCATTGCCGCCTCCAGCATTTGTCAGGTCATTTAGTCATTTCTAGCTCTACCGGTAATATACATTTTGTTTTTGACAATATACATTCCTATGTCTTCATTCATATTAATATTTTTATTTACGGCAGTATTAGAGCAGAGACAAAGTTGACACAAGGCATCTCTCGGTCTTGACCTCCAGCCATTCCGCACTTTATACAAATGCATAAAAGAATGCTGTTTAAATTTGGTGTTACGTTTGTCATAGCAGTGGGGATCATCCTGTTCTACCTTGTCAATATTCAAAATACGGAACAGCATGGCAATTACAAAGGAATGGTGGGGGATGCAGTTCAACATGCACTAATGGATGAAAGCAACCACATGAGGAAGGAATTGGATCAGGAGGCACAACCCGAAGATAGAAAGAACTTAAGAAAGGAATCAAATGGTAATTCAGACAATAAGCAAGGTGTTGAGTTGAAGGTGGAAACCATACTACCACAAGAGAAAGTTGAAAAATTTCCAGCAGATAAAAAGCCAGTGGTCACTGAGGCTGATGGAGATAATGGATTTATGTTCAAAGAGAAGCGCATTGAGCCTGTTATACAAAGGTATTTTTAAGATTAATGTTAAAAGGATGATATTTTTTAAATTTCCAAATTTAAAGTATTCGACATTAATGAAATGTTTTAACAAACAAAAAATTTAATTATCATTAATTTTTATCGTTTCTTTTCTTGTTTTTGTTTTTTTGTTTTTTTATTTAAAAAAAAATTAATTGTTTAAAAGAGTTGTTTAATTTACTTGTGTATTTTATATTTAAGTCAAGGAGAGCTACATGGCCATACTGTTCATCTCTGTGTGGTAGTATGCGGCAGCCGAGCAGACGAAACGATGGTCATGCTGAAGTCTGCAGCTATTGTCACACCACTTTCCATTTCATTAGTGTTTCACATTATTGCGGAACCGGCCAATCAGATACAGTTTCGTGACCAGGTATTTTAAAGATAACTCTTCAAAACCTTATATATATATATATAATATATATATATATATATATTATATATATATATTATATATATTATGTAAATTTAATTTAAACTTTAAAAATTTTAATGTTTTTTGTTGTACTGAAATGCCGAAATGTTTACATTTGTACTCTGTATAATCATTATTTAAGCTGAACCGATATTGTTTTATTTACATACATTGTGTTTGTGTATCATTGCTGTAAAGAAAAATTATTTTTAATATTATTTTCAAATTGAAAGATACCTCTAACTGGTGTTGTGGGATATTTGACTAACTGTTTCTATCCCATGATTCACTTTCAGCTGGAGTTGTGGCCATATGCTCACAGGCAAAGGTTGTCCTACAAAATTTACAATGTTTCTTTTCCTGGAGGTGCCACATCAGACTCCTGGAAAAAGTTGTTCAAGCCTTGTGCATCTCAACGACTTTTCCTGCCTGTAAGTTTTATTCATTTAATATAAACAATATTTCCATGAGTCGATACAAAGAAAAAATAAACCATATAAAGGTCTTGAATGTAATTTAAAATTGGCTTCTACACACCTTTTGAAGGTCTGACATATAATTTTAAATTAGATTTACAACACTGTTTGAAGGTCTTGTAATTTCTTCATACTCAAAAGTCTTGAACAAGGTCAGTTACTGTGAATGTTGAGGTCTTCAAAAATATAGTTTAGCATTTTTTAATTTCAGCATATGAAGATAAACTTTTTAGGGAACATTATTCAAATGTTATTAATGAAAGTATATGCAAATTTTAATTTATCTGAAAATTACTTGGCACATTAATTATGCATGCAAATTTAGAAGTTATTCTCAAAATTCTTGCCACAATTTGGATCTAACTGTTGACATGATTGTGTAGGACCTTCTCAAAGATGTAACTGTTGACTTGATATTTTAGGACCTTCTCAAGGACGTTGACAGCCTCATCTACGTGGACACGGACACCTTGTTCCTGCAGTCCCTCTCAGACCTGTGGCAGCACTTCAAGCGCATGAACCGGTCGCAGCTTGTCGGCGTGGTGTCAGAAGCTGAGGATGGGACGGCCGGATGGTACAACAGGTTTGCCAACCATCCTTACTATGGAGAGTTTGGTGAGTAAACGGAGCACATAACACGGCTTCTAACATTTCTTGTAATTTTAAGGAGATTTGTGTGCTTTCTCTTGCATTGGATTGGAAATTAAATTTACCGCTAAGGCTGTACAGATGCTCCTCACTTAAATAGGAAATAGAGCATTAATTAAACAACCGCCAAAAGTAAAGTTTCTTGTATAATTCCTTTATATGCATTTTTTTATTATTTTATTTTACATTAATATTCCAATGACCCGTCCGCTTTTACACCGCATAATTATTTCACCAACTATTTCAGAAAAAGAAACAAAAATGAAATATGCATCAAATACACTTGCGATATTTTTAAAAAAATAATCTTTTTTAGCGCAGTTATCTTGAATCATATTTCCTTCATGGCTCTAACACGTTGTGAACTAAAAAAAAAAATTTAACTAAATTTAGGATTTATTTGCTCATTTCGGATATTGGTGACACCACTTAAAATGGGGGGGGGGGGGCGACTTATTCCTTTACATGGCCCTGGCTCTAACACTTGAGCAATTAAAAAAAGATTGACTTAATTTTAGATTTGTTTTTTTTTAAATTTTAGTGAACTAAAAAAAAAAATTTAACTATATTTAAGGTTTTTTTGGCCATTTCGGATATTGGTGGACCCCCCTAAAATGGGGGGGGGGGGGCGACTTATTACTCTACATGGCCCTGGCTCTAACACTTGAGCAACTAAAAAAAGATTGACTTAATTTAAGATTTGTTTTTTTTTAAATTTTGCCTCTTAAAATAAACCCTGGTTCAAAGCACCAGTTACTGAAAACTTGTCTTATGAATTATTCCAGGCGTCAACTCTGGAGTTATGCTGATGAACCTGACTCGGCTCCGTAAGACATCCTGGCTGAGTGATATGCAGATCTTCTACAACAAATATTACATGATGATCCCATGGGGGGACCAAGATCTTATAAACATTTTCTTTGCGGCACATCCTGGTTAGTGGTCAAGATTCCTGGAACCTTGTGTTAGATGTTTTCTTGTGTTACTGTTTTCTTGTGTTACTGTTTTCTTGTGTTACTGTTTTCTTGTATTACTGTTTTCTTTTGTTCTGTTTTCAGATGAACAATTTGACTTAATTCTATTTTATCCCACTCATTTTGTCAGTGTTAAAAAATTTAATTCCACCAACCAATACTTTACAATTCGTGACATATAAAATTAAATTCATGCAAGACTATATTTAATCATAGCTTTTAAATATTATGTCTTTGTTTCAAAACCAATATTGACATAAATTTTCCTGGCCTACAGATTAACTTCTTTACTATTTCATAAATAATTTTTGTGTTTACAGATCGACTTTTTTATTACTTCATAAACAATTTTTTGCCTATAGATCAACTTTTTTACTACTTCATAAACAATTTTTTGCCTACTGATCAACTTTTTTTTGCTACGTCATAAAAAATTGTTTGCCTACAGATCAACTTTACCTGATGGGCTGCCAATGGAATTATCGAAGTGACCACTGCAAGTACATGAGCAACTGCAGAGCAGCCGAAGAGAGGGGAGTGTCTGTGCTCCATGGCTCACGGAGAATTTTTTACAAGGAGAGGGAGCCATCGTTTGCAGCTGTATTTGAAACATTTAAAAATGTAGGTATGATTCTGTTGTGTCTTTAATTCAGGTATCAGGTTAGCACGATCAGAAGTACACTCATCTAAAGGGTGTTTGGAACCTGTAAAAAATGTCAGTTTTGATTATGTTGTACCAATATTTCAAGGATAAGATTAATGCACACACTGGACACAGGAGTGTACACATTAAAAGTTTTGCATTGACGCCCATCATAACTTTATTGAGACAGGATAACGTAGACCAATGCTTCCCAACCTACAGTCGGCGGAGCCCTACAACCCCACCCCCACCCCCCCCCCCCCCATCCACACGTTAACCCTTCTGCTAAACACAATTAGTTGTAAAATATAGCGTAGGACAAAGAAAATGATTATAAAAATGGCTCTGCGGGTCAAAAAGGTTGTGAAGCACTGGTTTAGACAGCAGCTCAGGGGTGTCACTTTTCCGGGTTATACTGGAAATCATGATTCCTGAGGCTAAATATTTTTCATTTCCGGATTCGCAACTTTTTATTTGCTATCGCTTCGGGTTCGAAAGTTCAATTTTTTCAAACATGGGCGCTGGGTTTAAAAAATGAAAGAAAGACAACGCAGGAGCGCGCGAAGGTCCATCCATTACGGGAGAAGTGGGTTGGTCGGTTTTTCGCTATAAATAGAACAGGTACAGTGTACCGCGACCTCTCGCCTCTCACTTTCTAGTTTGCAAGTGTCTCGTGTTAGTTAGTTTGCAATCGCATCCCTTTTTGCTGAGTCAAGTTACTTACACTTACGGGGAAAAGCATATTTCCATTGATTGCCTTTTCATATAAATTACAACAGACAGCTAGAAGTTGCCACGTTTCTGTTATAATATTTATAATTTAAAAAAAAATAATTTTACTTTATCAAAATGCGTTTCTTGGATGTGAAAGAAAAATATTGCCGAATTGGAGAAAACTGTTAAAAACAAGTGGTGATGGCAATGGTTGGAAAATTAAAATGACAACGGTGCTTCGTTTAAAGTTTTGTGTCAAAAAATGAACCACCCTGGTATGTAGACCTAATTTACTTAATACTATTACTACTTAAGAATACTAATAATTACTACTATCATTGTAGATATTTTTATAACTTCTATGATTTACATTTCATATCATTTACTTGTTATCTGCTATGTACCTAACAATTATTGTTTACGCGCGATTGTGATTTTGTGTTGCTAAGAACATTGTTTTTACCAACATAACCATTACCATTAATGATTACCTAAAGGCTAATGATAGTTGTGGATGCCACCACATCTTTTAGGTGTTGGAGTGAATTAGGGTTCAGGTTAGGTTTAGGGATAAATTTAGGGTTCAGGTTAGGTTTAGGGATAAATTTAGGGTTCAGGTTAGGTTTAGGGATAAATTTAGGGTTTAGGTTAGGTTTATAGATACATTTTAGGGTTCAGGTTAGTTTTAGGGTTCAGGTTAGTTTTAGGGTTCAGGTTAGTTTTAGGGATACATTTACTTAGATTTAGTGACAGAATTTCACAGAATTAACTGGTTTCTCAACCAAGATGGCGGCCAATCATGGCATCCACAATCACCATTTACCAAAAAAAAAAAATAAAGAAATTTAAAGTCAACCTCAATCTTTACAGGTACATGTTTCTGCATAATATGCCATCAAACTTTCATCTATGGATCTTCTGGGAAAAGAGCTTTGACAGACCATGCAAATAATCCTGCACACTGCAGTGCTTTAGCCAACCTTCAAAAGAGTTACAACTTACCTGGCACTACATAAGAAATTTCTAGCAGAAGACAGTCTTTAACTGATAAGGTTCAAGATGTCAAAACTGTTGTTGGTGCCTTCCTCGCGGAACACTGCTTACCATATAGCATTTCTCCACACATTCTTGAATTGTGTAAAAAACTTGCCCAAGACACAGAAGCTCTAAATTCTACATCAATGGGACGAACATCAGTAACATACACAATTACCCATGGTATTGCTGAAGAAATGAAAAGAGAACTGAGTGACAGTCTGAGATTCAAATTTTTTTCCCTTAACATGGCTGCAGCAACAAACAATGCAAGGGAACAAGTTTTTAAATGTTCTTGTTCAATTTTTTTGTGACACTCAAGAAAAAGTTGTTGTTGACTTTCTTGGCTCGAGGGACGTTAATGTTTCTACTTCCGAAAATATTTTCAATGCAACAGAGTCTTCTTTTTGAGAGAGGTCTCTCCTGGTTTCAGGTTATTTCCTGTCTAATGGACAATTGTAATGTGATGCGTGGAGTCAAGAACGGGGTTGAGTCATTGATATGACGAGCCAATCCAAATCTCCTTAATGTCAGTGGTGACACTGTGCATATGATGAATAATGCTGCAAAAGCATTTTTTTGAGCCCATTGAGGAATTTTCAGACTTTCAAACATTTGCATCAAACATATTTTATGATATAGAGGACTTCCCAAAGGCAAGAGCTTTTTTCCATGAAGTACAGACATTACTGTATTCAAAGGTTTGGACCATATTTAGGCCAATTTCAAATAGATTTTTGCAAATGAAAGACGTTTGTGACAGATTGCATCAGCTGTGGGATGCTCTATTTGTAGTCTACTTTGGCTTCCTGTCAAACATTGAACAATCAAAATATAAGATTGATGTTAAAGAAGTCTATGAAAAGTTTAAATTAAATACCAACCAGCAGGACAAACTTGACAACATCTCATAACAATTATGAAAACACAAACAAAAACAAAAGCTGGAACTGTCCCAAAAGAAAGTATTTTGTTGCACCTTTCCCATCAAAAACAGAGGACTCAGGTAACACTACAATTGGAAAGAGGAATAACGCAAGATTTCGCAAAGTATGTTAAATGTCATCAATCGGAAAAGCCAGGATGCCATCGTCTGCATACAGACATGTATGAGCAGTTGAAAACTTTTTATTCTGGATTTATTGAACCCAGCATTATTGCTGACCCTAACAAAGGTATGAAACACCTTGCCCAGATAAAAACGAAGGACAGATCAATTCAAGTTAGGGACAGGCAACTTGCTTTGGGTGATTTTTGTCTCCCTCTTATTAGAGAATGCCGTAGTGACAAAAATAAAAATCACTGGATTAATGATTTCTATGTTGCTGTTAGAAAAGGTTATGTAAATGCAAGTGAAAAGATGAAAAAAATGCCACTGTTAAATAGCATTATAATACAGCTATCATCTCTGGACCCTGGTTTGCAAAAGTCTTTCTCAACAGCTGGTGCCTTGGGGAAATTAGCTGAAAGCTTACTAAATGTCATCAGTTCTGACAATTGTGGCATATGTATACTGTCGATACATCAATGTCACAGTTACATGCTGATGAGACTGCACCCGATTTCGACCTGGACAAAGACTGGTGGAGCAAGTTAATAGCTCTAAAGCTAATTGGTGAAACGAAGTATCCATTATTAGGTTCACTTGTTAAAGCTCTACTCTCAATTTTTAGTGGTCCTTGGGTGGAAAACACCTTTAATATCATGGACGACATCGTCGAAGATGATCGGGCGCGGATGACCCACTAAAACTATGAGAGTTTGGCCATTGTAAAAAGCCACCTCAAGGCCCGCAGAGAAAGTGCCATCACCATGACTGTATCTCAGTCCATGAGAAAGTATGTTTTTTCTGCCAGGCAGCGCCATCAAGAGTATATGGAGCTACCTGCAAAAGACACTATGGCAACAACTTACACTACCATCCTCAGCTTCATCTGTGCCATCATTAGGTACATCTTCTGTATCAACAATGTCACCTGCTTCAACATCCTTACCATCAACACCTTTTTCTTCAGCTGCTCAAGACATATGAAAGAGAAATGTGTCAAGAAATAGAAAACATACAGACACCACAAATACTGCCGCCATTACAAAATTCTTCAAAAAAATATAACTTGATTTTTTACACACTTTTACATATCATTTGTTAAATGTTTGGTGTAAATAATTGATGCCTATTTTGAATTTATTTCTTATTTCAACACTGATAAATATATAATATATGACACACTGAATTTCTTAAATAGTTTGATATGATTTTATTTATGCGTTTGTAATAAGTGCTGGTAATATGTATTGGTTATATACATGAAATTTGGGCAAATTAATGTGGATACATATATGCATATATGATGTAATCATTGCACGAGAAAAGTGTATGAATTTTATGAGTTTCGTCAAGATTCAGGATTGGAAAAATTTGGAAATGAAGTTTCAGGGTTCAAGAAATTTTTAAAAAGGGATTTCAGGGTTCACAGCTTACAGTGAGTGGCACCCCTGCAGCAGCTTTTTAATCCAACACCACTGCCTGCTCTATCCCAACTGTGGCTGTTGAGCTTTTCATCTCTCTGTGTTGCCTCCTCCCCAAGCCTCTGACAAGTAACTTTTACTCGGCTGATTGTCAACAGCTGGGGATGACCGTGGACGAATTTGAACTGGCTACCTTAAGATAGTGATGCAGGCATTGAGCCTACCATTTTGAGGCTTGAACATAGAAATGAACCATTTCTTGAGTCACAGTAATTTAATTTAGTCCAGATCCCCCCACTGCATGTTTAGACTAATTAAAAATCCTTTTTTTTTTTTTTTTTTTTTTTTTTTTTTTGCTTTTAACGATGATGCATGTTATCGTGTTTGAGTTCCCATGTTTCCGACATAAACGTCTCCAACAAACAAATAAAACAATGACGTGTTTTTATTTATTATTTTTTTTTCAAAATGTTTCAGTATAAGTTAGGGGATGACCCAGAACAACAGTTTCTGAAAATTTTGGAAGACAATCTGAGCAAAGCCGAATCATCCAACTGTGGAAAAGTCTCGCATATTTTTCTCATGCAGCTATGGAAGCTTGTCAACAGAACCATGGAATTAAAAAATGAGAAGGTAATTAAATAGGGGTTAAAGCTAGGGTTAGGGTTAATACATTCAGTAAGCTGCATTATGTCTTGTATAGATATGTTCGTATATGTTTCTTAAATGTTAAACGGATAACTTGTCTGCCCCCCCGACACATAAACACAAAGCTATTTGAAAAATTAAATTTTTTGCAAAACCAGTTCTACTAGCAGTCAATGTTGTGTTGATCTCTTCAAAACTTTGGTTAGATTTTTCAATGATGAAATCTGATTAGGGCAAGCCGTTTCATCTCAGCTTGCGAACAGAATACCAGACAGGGTGCTTATTTAAGATAAAAATGTTACATAGATGTGTTGAAATAAACTATTTATCTGATGCCATCACCAGTGTCTTTCAGTAAAGTAATATCGCAGTCCAACGATTTTATCTAATGTAAAGTATTGTCCCAGTCCAATACTTTGATCCTACAGTAAAGCAGTGAAAAGCTCTGTAACACTTGATCCTACAGTAAAGCAGTGAAAAGCTCTGTAACACTTGATCCTACAGTAAAGCAGTGAAAAGCTCTGTAACACTTGATCCTACAGTAAAGCAGTGAAAAGCTCTGTAACACTTGATCCTACAGTAAAGCAGTGAAAAGCTCTGTAACACTTGATCCTACAGTAAAGCAGTGAGAAGCTCTGTAACACAACTCTTTAGCAGCTGAGGTTATGGTTACTTTATTTAGTGTCACCTTTAGATCTCAAAGATAATATATGAAATGTTTCTCCTTTATGCACACGCATCGCTTATCATCACCAGTTTACTGGAGGTTGTATCAGATACTCTATAGCTCAACAGTACCGTATGTTATGGACTATAAGACTCACTTTTTTTTTTCGAAAAATTTCCTCCTAAATTCAGGTGCGTCTTATGCTAAAAATTAATATAAAAATGGAAAAACTGTTATTTAAAAAAAAATTTGCTTAAAAATTAAGGTGCGTCTTATAGTCTGTAGCATCTTATAGTCTCTAAAATACGGTAATAAAATACTTTTTTGAATTCAGTTTTAACAAAAATTTTTAAATTTCGATCTGTAATTTCGATCAATAGCTCAGTTTTGCATTTAGAAGTTAAAAGATAAACCAAAAAGAATAATTTGGTGAAACATCCATGACGCTTTAAGATACAGTAAATCATTTTGTCACCAACAAAAGTTGTTTTATAGACTGATTTTAATTTTACAGGAGAAACTATCTGATCAAGATGTGGATAGTATGAGATCTGCAGACGAAAACGCCCACATGAGTTTTGATGATGTTATTGAGGCAATAGACAGACATCGTTTGAAGGCAGCTGGTGACCCAGACAAGAGACACGGCAACGTCAGTTTTCCCTCGGCCTCAAATGTGCAACATCAGCCTGATACAAAATTATTGGGTAAAAACTATCAAGGTGTGGGAGATACCCATATACAATCACTGGACAAGGGCAGGTCGGAAGATAATGGAAGTGTTATAAAAGCAGTGACTGAGGATTACGTTAGTGATATTAAACGATCTGATGAAAATGTGCCGCGAGCACAGAGTAACAATGCCATTGTCTCAGTCCAAGAGGATGATCAGTACGATTATTACGGAGATGAGAAGTAGAAAAACAACAGCGGTATCAAGTATGCAAGACATTGAATTACAAAATGGTAGAAACAAATTGTATGGAGTGAAAAAATTCATTGTTTAAAATGGAGCAAATTTATAAGATCTGAAATTTTAATATTTCATCTAATGCAATACAGAACTTTTTTTTATTAGTTGTAATCATAAAAATTGTTTTGAGTAATAATATTTATCAATAACAAAATTTTCTGATAACTATTAGAATAAAAATATTTTATATTTTAAAATGAGAATCAAAAGTATTGAACAAAAGCCCATATGAACTATTTATTAGATGCTCTATCCAATGATTAATGCATTTTGATAATTTTTTTGTATAGGGTACTAAGTTATGTTGTATTATGCCGCAGTAATACTCTTGTAATAATGTCAAACTAAAATGTCACAGATAAATTATAAAAATAATCAAATTCGTCCATGTTCTTAAATTGCACCAAGATATGTATCATGGAAGGAAAGCATCAAATTATTTTATATTTAACTCATCCACAATCATTTAAATATTTGCTGATACTATATGCCAGCCAGACTCTTAACCGAGCAAATGCTTATTACTATATAAATAAATATATGGCAATATTTTTAAAAACAAAAAAAACAAATAATTTAGGGCAGTATTTATAAACACTGACGCAGACATGTGGTGAAACACATACATTAATATCAGGCAATCAATGTTTATGTTTCGTCTATATGGGGCTTAAGCCATGTCTCACTTTAGCAAGACAAAGTCCATAATGTTCCACATATGTTTTGCTCTGGTCTCCATACATTGTCATTTTAACTGATAAGCTACCAGATTGAAAAACCCGCTGTGGCCGAATTGAATCTAGGTCACATTTACTACAATACAAACATTGGCGCTATCAGCGGCTCATGGTAGTTAACCAGTTAAGTATTATAATTTTTCAAGCAGTCATACGGAGAACTATAAGTCTAACAATTTTTTAATAAACATTTGTAAAGAGTTGTTTTTTTTTAATATGTAGTTCTCATTTCAGTCCATTTAACAAAATTGTTTTTTTTTTTTTTTTAAAACTTTAAAATAAATTTTTTTAGAGACACTTGCAGAATTTGAGTCCTGCAAAAACTAGGGGGAAACTGCTTTGCTAAATTTTTTTTTTTTGGCTAAGTAATAAATTAATATTAACTCTCTGCAGTCTGACGTTTTTTTCACATTTCTTAAAAATCTTAATGTGATTTTTTAAAATAATTAATTAACTGATCTGAAATAGCTCTGATCTGATCAGTTAAATATATTAACTTGTTCATCTTTGACTCAGCTATCATTAGATATTTTTTGTATATTTTAATTTCTTAGTTATAAAAATAATTGAAACATTATTGGAGAATTATTTTTTTTTCATTTTATGCAAAAATTTGACAAAATCTTTACACAGTATGAAGGCAAAAAAAAATCCTTGTTATAAAAGATTTAAAATTTATTTAAATAAAATACTTCATCAACTTATACAATTCATAGTCAAACATGACAAAAATTCTTTGAACAATCAAAAAGTTGTCAATATTTTAGAAAAACCTATATTTTGTCTTTTTTTCCTAAAAAATGCACTGTAATTTTTCTTTTAATGAAAATTATTTTTTGTATGTAATATATTTTAAAAAATGGGTCTTATAGCTTATAGATTTGTGTATTAAATATATTTCTTAATAATTCTTGAGTAAAAGATGACTAAGTAAAATTTGATGAATATATCAATAACTCAAAACAAGAGCCAATTTTTTTTTTTAAATTTTAAAATAGCGGTATTCGCTGATGTTAAAGTTAAAAAAAATTAAAATGTATCAGTACAATAATGCTAATTTTGATATTAATGTCAAATACGATCCATTCCTCACTAATGTGATCTATTTTTTCCCATGTACCGGCATTTTTATATATCTTTGTTATAATCCTCACATAACACAGGCTGATAAACTACATTATTCCTTAATTATATTTATGGACTCTGAACAAATATTATTTCTTAAAACAGTCTGCAGTTTTATTATAATAATTATATTTGATAAATAAGAGCTTGTCCTGGACTTGATTTCTACATAAGATTAGGTAAGACTTTTCACCACAGAATATTCACTCAATAAAGAACCTGTGGAAAAAAAAAATTGATTGATTCATAAATAAATTAACACTAATGGTATCAGTAATGGTATGCTATCAGTAAGGGAAAATACCATTAATCCTAGTCCAAGTGCCTAAATTAGTATAAAAGTAAACCATTGTACATAGAAAAAATGGTATCAGTAATGGTATGCTATCAGTAAGGGAAAATACCATTAATCCTAGTCCAAGTGCCTAAATTAGTATAAAAGTAAACCATTGTACATAGAAAATACATTATAACATATGTTATAACAATATTGTGAGTTTATTCTTTATGCATTTTGCTACCAAGTGATTAGATTAAAACTTACCACCACTTGTTTTTAGGGTAAAATCTTCAAAGATATTCATCCAGTAACTCTGTAACTCAGTAAAAGGGTGGAGTCCAGGCTTAATATTTAGGATCAATAAGGAATAAGGGCTTCTTGATCCAATATCTGCATTTTTGTCTCTCTCTCCTCCTTCCCAATAGAGTTAGAGAGCTTTTAATAAAAACATACATTTTTTTTTTTTAATTCTGTCGACAGTAGTCTCTACTAATACTAGTGACTAGCGATAATGATAATTAAATTTAAACACATTTCTACTATGCAATATTAGAATATTTAGAAGATTATTCTTGTCTGTAACATATTTTAAAGAAATATATTTAGTTAATCACTCAGAAGTCCTTAACTTTAAATTTATTTAATTACGCAAGTTCCCAATTGCCGAAATTTTCCGCTACTTTTTTAAAATATTTATTTCGCATAGCGACGCTATTTATTTATTATATAATTATTGAAACTCAATAAAATTCAAATAGAATATATCAATGTAAGTATAAATGGATAATATATACTTCAGCCAATTCAAATTATAAAAATATCACTTTATTGTTTTATTATTAATTTTAAAGTCGGGAAATGATAATTAAAATTAAGCTTACTTGTTTACAATAGCATTAGTCAGTACTTTTATATGCAAATCGTGATAAATTTCATGATTAGAGTCTCCATTTGGATACATTGCTTTAGACAAACAAATAACTCCTTGATAAATCGGGAAATTAAAATCATTTGACAATATTCATACTGCTATTTAATTTTTTTTGTGACACTTATATTTTTTGTTCTTTTTGAAATCTGCGAAGCTTTCAAGGGATACTCCGGGCTGAATAAGTTTCCAAAAATATTTTTTTTAAATAGTAATTTCAAATTTTGTAATAATTTTAATTTTTTTACAAATACTTAAACCAATGAAACAAATTATTAAAATATAATAAATAATTTTTTTCAATAAAAAAAAAAGTTAAAAAATAAATAACCCATCCACAAAATCTATGGTACATATAAGTACCATTTCTCTATTGTCGGACTGCAGAAAGTTAATGGGGGGGATCTTGGCTGCTTCCCACAATACTTTCCCCAGGAAAAACAGGGTGTGTGTAATGTTATGTTTTGCATTGTCCTGAAATTGTAAAGTCAATTAATTAAAATAGAAATCACCCTCTTGCCATTTACCCTTTTTAAATTTTTTTTTAAAAACATGTACACTTTTTGGGTTCTGCCATGGCAAGTAACTTATTTCATGTATTTTGTTTGGCAGTTGTGAGAGTTTGATTATGTTCTGACCCAAGATTTTTTTGGTTCACATTATGATATGATACAATTGTTTTCATTGGTCTACATTATAATTTGCTTCAAGAGTTTTCATTGGCTCACATTATGATCTGACACAAGAGTTTTCATTGGCTTACATTATGATCTGATGCAAGAGTTTTCATTCTCCTCCTCCATACAGTGAGCCATACGCAATATTTCTCACTGACGCGATTGTCTCAAGAGCCCAACTGCTATGACATCTTGTTGGGAGAAGTTTTCCTCTGAAACATTGTCTTTCAAATTGTTGCCACTGTTACAAAACTTAACCAAGTTTTGAGCCAGACTTGACATTTATATCATCTTAAACTTATACAGGTTAAATTTCTAGGATGATTTTTTAATTTTTTTACATGAATTTAAGTTTAAGAAGTGTCACAATTTGTTTCCAGCACTTAACAAAAATATATGTTGTTATTTTAAAATATAACTTTATTTTGTTCCACCCACTTTTTCAATGTTGTTAAATTCCTGGATTTTCTATTGATTCATTCCATAATAATCATTAGATTGTCATTTAGGGTCCAATCAAACTGTTGTAAACTAGTGGGAGTTAATGTGATAATATATTTTGTATTTGATGTAAATAGACTACAGGGATCCCCAACCTCTGACCTTAATTTGATGACATGTTCAAATTTATTTAGTTGGATAATTGGCTGTTCAGTCGGGGCAATTTTTGCCATACCAGGTTGGGGATCACTGCCGTATACCCTGAATGTGGATTTAGGGTTAGACTTTGTGATCCTGACCCTTGATCCATGCTGATGGTGGCCATGTGATTCTGATCTTTGACCTGTGCTGATTGTTGCCATAACATTTAAAGAAAGGAATGATTACAAAAGTAAATGCATCTTTCTTTTTTTTTTTGGACAAGCTTGAGTCTGAGAATATTTCCAGCTGTAGACATTCTTACATGAGCTAACGTAATGTATTATTGTAATATGTCTAGATGGTGCTATGAAAGGTTTTAAACACATTTATCAATGCGGTGTCAACATTTCTTTGATTCTGTTCATTTGTGTTCCCACCATTTGTTAAATATTTAATGCAGATGCCAAAACCTTGGATTGTACATAGTTTTTATGTATGTTTACTTTGTAATGTAGTTTCTTGTTATAGGTGATAAGACAGGATTAATAAGTGATAAGACAGGATTAATAAGTGATAAGACTGGATTAATAAGGTGATAAGACTGAATAAATAAGGTGTTAGACAAGATTTATAAGGTGATTAGACAGAATTAATAAGGTGACACGACTGGATTAATAAGGTGATAAGACAGGATTAAAAAGGTGATAAGATG